CCGTTAGGCTATAGCTATGTAGGATCAAGTTAATTTTTCGACAATGTCTCTCCGTTCGGGGTCTCTCTGGAACCTGTATATATTCAGACAAATATCTTGTATTGTTAGGTTATCAATGAATCTATCATGTACAAAGCTTGCATCCTGTGCCTATGTGAGATACCTAAATAAACCTCATCTGACAGAGGATATAAATGCGTGTAGTCTACGGTAGAAGTCTAGCTCCAAGGTTCGGTCGCTTGTGCGGCGAAAGGTGTCAATGATAGTGATGCCGTTCTTCCATCACATACCATTAACTACGATATAGAGATTCATAATAGTCCAAACCATGGTCTCCGGCTTAAGTCACAATCATAAACCGTGGAAAGGAATTTGAAAACTGGGAATAGCACTCAAAGGCTAGTCTCAGAGTTCTAGTCATGAACTATCACTCGTAACTAGTGAAACATTATCATTATACTTTTTTCTTATTAACGTTTTGAATATACTCTAATATGGTACAATGAAGATATTTCAGCGTGTAGCTGTGTTTTATAAAATATTTGGAGGCCTCTTATCGTGCCAAACGGCTGTTGTGATTCTTGTCCGGTTGATCCGGGGCGCGTGTGGCTATGCTGATGTTTGAGGAAACATGAACTAACTAGGACGCTTCTGAATATACTACTGGTGAATGTATTCTTGAAGGGCAAACTAGTGTGCGGCATGAGTTGACTATAATCGAGTACAAAAATCGAGTATTTGATTTGATTAGACTCGATTAGGGGTGACATTTCCAATCATAATCATGATTAGTTTTTTGCAATAAATAGATTAAATCATATAAGTCCAAAGAGACAGTCAAACCACGAAATATGACCGGCAAATAATCATTTCCCCTCCCATAAACCTGAGGTCAATTTTAGTAAGAAATTCTGTCTTAAAGGCCGAAGATATAATCCTGTAATCAATCAGAATAATCGAATAGGTATGAGTTTATACCATCAATCAATGATCATGAGTATGATTTGATAGGTCTGGGAGGGTGAGTTGACTCGGTTAAAGGCGAAAAACCTAATCGATTGTAATCATGCCTCACACTAGGGCAAACCACTTGGCAGAATATCGTTCCACCAAGACCAGGCAAACGTATAGTTTCCAAGCCCCAAGTATCCCTCGGACTGTCATCTTTTGGCGAGGACTGACTTCTAGGCTTATTAAGACAAGTAACAAAACGAGACGCAACGGACCAAGCAAGAAAGGGCTGGCTTCATTGTCCTGTTACCCCTTCTAGGTACAGCAGAAGTTAGGAGTATGTTGGAATGAGCAGCGATGGGTAAGTGGAAAGTTTTCGCCTGAGGTTGAACGTAAGCCATACAGCATAGACCTCTCACTACCTCGCATATATAGGTCACGGGCCCCCCCACTCTCCGGTAGAAGCGCCGGTATGAACTCCATAAATACCATATAGTCAGGACTGAGTACATCTCGACAGGGGATTTAATATGTATCTGCAAGCGTCCGGTGGAGTCCGTGGAAGATTGGAAGCGTCTTCTGCGTGTGAACATATGTGATCATGAGAGAATATCATTTGAGTGCAAGGACCTTGAGAGCTAATATGGGTCCAACCTTTGACTGCGCGCAGGTGACCTCGCAGATGGCCTGTGTTTGGTGCAACAGTGTGAAGAGTGCGGAAGCGGTGATCGACATGATGAAATGCGGGACGATGTATATTCGGCGCAAGCACATCCTAGAGGTAACGCTCCGCGTGAGGTCTCGATGCTTGGGGTGTATGTGGGAGTGGTCTGTTATTATGATTTGTTCGATGAGCGTACGTTGAGAAACCAACCGACTAAAGGAGACAACCCTTGTCATCACAGGTAGTCACTCGCTGATAAGGAAGTACATGTAGTTGCTATTATATAAATGTCTCATGGCGGAGGAGAACATGAGAAAGCGAGACGTCCTCTAATTGAAATGCATAGATCCTCCCGCGCCACGCCGAGTTTTCAGGTTCTTGCAATCAATAACGCTGCCTTGGGCTGGTGCCTCCAAGCACAGAAACTATTAATCAACCTTTAGAGCAGGCGCGAAGACAACGAGGCGTAAGAATCCAGTACCGGCCATGGATCACCATATATCACTCGCACAAATTTCGCATTAGGTTGAGACCTGAATTTTGGTTTTAGAGAACGGTAATAAATAAGCGCGCCCCAGCCACTACCCAAAAGCCGGTCCTTTCTCTTCAGGCCCTGCACACGGCCCGAAGAGTATTGCGGGGTATCTGGTCGAGGATGTAGTCAGGGTTAGGGTTTCCATGGACGGATCGGTACTCTTTATAAGCGATGTTGGGGGGGTCTTCCGATGTTGTTTCGCTCACAGAGAGGCAAGGGGAGACTTCATACTCGATTGCCGCCTGACTTGAGTCTATCCGGGGGTGGATGAGTATATGGGGCCATAGGTCAGACAGGGGCCAGATCTAGATGGAGAATATCTTTAAGGAAAGATGGGGTGCGGGGGCCCAGAAGATAAGCTAGGGCCACAGACACCAGATAGTGGATGTAGGTGACAGATGTCTCTCTTTATAGCGACAGTTCGTTTTTTCTTTGGTGGCAGAATAATATTAAGTTGGTAAGGTAACCGGGGGGAGCAATGAGGTAAATGATGTGGGTTAGCTGATAAGGCTTTGCGGGGGGTTAGGTTTACAATTTAGCAAGAGGCTGCGTGTTGCGATCACGGTTAGGTGTAGATCGATACTGCGTGCAGAGAGCGTCATGGATAATCACTCGATTCTCTCCAGCCTTGAGTGTACGCGTTATTTGACTGGAATGATAAAGAACAGACTGACTCGATCACTCGCTCGGGCATCAGAAATGCTCCTCTCTCCTCTCTTACTTTGGTTGCTCAATCCTGTTTCAACTTCCCATTCTAGCATTCGCCTACGGAACTTGTACTGCTAGGGACTCGCTGGCTTACTGAATACATGTACTTTCTCTTCGATGCCGACGTCTTCTCTCGTTATTGCATCTTCCACTACCCCACTCTGCCCTACGCCGTCTCAGCCAAGGTACAGCACCTACGTGTGTTCAATGAAGAAAAGTCCAAATAAAACCACGTAGCCAAGCCCATAGTCTAAGATGTCTCTCATACTGAATACTACACACGACACACAAAAAAGAAAGGGATAGGTTAGTACACTCGGCGTTCGCTGCCGGAGGATTTGGCGTACTCCGGACAAGGCTCTATTCTTATGAGTGGATGGGGCCTACGCCAGACTGCTTTCGTGGCAAAGATACGACCGTCCGGTCGGGATGGAAGACGGTACCGCGTGGGGTCTCTGTGTTGTGCCGAGAGTGTAGGTAGTGCTTGCTGCCATCTCGTTCTTCCGCCGGGTTGATAACCATATTTTTGATGAACGCGCCAAGAATAGGCCAAGTTCATCATACCCCTGGCTTTGAGTGCCAGGCTTCCTGACTTCAAGGTCCTAGTTTTCAACTCAACCATGGCCATATGGGTAAGATGTTGAAAGTGGGATAAATATAAGAGCTAATCCAATGCATGGCCGCACAGGAAGCAAAGATATCTTAAATGTTCACCAACGTACATTGCCCGCGGAGGACGGACAAGTCCAAATAAGCCAACTACATATCCATTATCCACCTATCTATCGGAAATTCAGCTGAGACATGGTTTCGCGACTACCAGCTGAAATCCGCCTCCTGCCAAGGCGATAAGGGTTAGGGTTTCACCACCCAACTAAACTACCCACCTCATTTCACCTAGCCGCCGAAAGCGGAGCAGATTAATTGATCAAGCAATCAGGAGTCCGCTACTAATACAAGTAGCTATCCGCTAAGGAATATATACGCAAGGTACACGCTCGTGCAGTATGCAGAATTCTACCGGTAGGCCCCACAAAACGTTCGGCAACATCCGTGTTCCTTGCACGAGATATATGTGGGGAGCAATATATATTAAATACCCATGCCGCAAGACGTGCAGAAGCAAATGTTAAACTGTACCTACTGTGGATCTGGATATTGTGGCGGTGCCTTTGCTACTGAATACACTACTTTGAGTAAAGGCCCGTCGAGAGCATAATATATTCATCATCTGCAATCTAATATATGAGGGTATAACTATATCTCCAGTTGCGTAATATCCAAGCCTCCCAATCGACGTGCGGTATTCGAGGGCGTGTAGCACTGCATATATAGAAACGGCATAAATAATTCAGCTCTGTTTGCACTCAGCAGTCTTTAGATGCCAGACCGCGTCGCGCATGCTGTTTTGAGAATTAATCCCCATCATCTGCGGCTATCCCCATGGATGCGCAAGGTTACACGAGCCTAGGGCAATACTTGACCGTTACATGTAGCAGAGTGGGGAAAGGGGAGAAACAATCAACGGGTCATTCCATCTCGACCCCAGGCCCGGAAGCAGGGCTGACATCAACTTCAGTGGAATCCGTCCTTGTGACGTGAGGAATGAGGAGTAAAACAAAACATGCTACCTAAAGAGCCCAGACTCGCAGTTGATAGTGCATGTCATCATGTATACAACAGCTTTAAGAGTGCAGTTGTGACCACAGCGCTGAACAGTCACAATAAGCTGCCAAAAACGTTCAGAATGTTCACTTCTCCCAAGACAAGCGGAATTCCTCGCCCAGCTAGCCAGACAGACCCCGCTGATCTCGCCGAATCCCTGGTAGTATAAGCGCTCAATCTCATATATTAATTCGGTTGATGAACCTCTTTGGGCTCGGCAGGGGCTTTGTTTCCCGCGCCTGAAGGTGCAAGATCATGGGTTCTAGTGCTGCAAACTTCCGCTGAACGGCGTCGAGGGAAAGCTGAAAGTGCTGAATTGCAGTAACGGAGTTGCTGATGGGGGGAGGGATCGTGAGGAGGGCGTTTCTATAAATTGGTAGTAATTCCCAGCGTTTGTTTGGTTCTGTTTTTCGGATCGTCAGTCCTCGTCTGTTTATCACACATCGTTGAAGACCTCTACGACCCATCAACGTCAGAATGCCTTCCCTCTACCGCTCTCTTCTCCTCCTCACCCTCGGCGCATTGAGCGTCAACGCTGGCGTCGTCCTCCGCAGACAGGACCTCGACCCCGAGTCCTCCGTGTACAAGCTGCTTGCCAGCAACAGCACCATCTCCCTCCCCGATCTGTCCGTGCCCCTCGTCAACACGACCACCACCGATGTCCGTGGCGACGTCCCAGACACCACAGACCTCACAGCCGACGTCCTCTCGTCGGCCTCCTCCTCCCTGACGGCAGAAGAGTTCATCGAGCCCACGGTGTCCGACGAGGCACTGGTATTCTCCATCAGTAGCGTCACCACCTCCGCCGTCACTGCTGCTGACGTTTCCGCGACCAACACGTTCCTCTTTTCCGTGACGCTGCCGGTGTTTTTGGCGGCGAAGGCGGCGGGGGTCCCAACGACGCTCGACTGGACGGATGATGGGTGCAGTTACTCGCCGGATTATCCTGCTGGGTTTAACTTTCTGAGTTCCTGCAAGAGACACGACTTTGGGTATCGTAACTTCAAGGCGCAAAGCAGGTTCACGGAGGCGAATAGGCTGCTCATTGATGATAACTTCAAGAGGGATCTGTATAACATGTGTGGAACGTATGGCTTGCTCAAGCGGGAGGTCTGCGAGGGCATTGCGGATGTGTATTATGAGGCGGTGAGGGCGTTCGGCGGGTTGTAGTGGGGGAGCGACGGTCACCGAGTGCAAAAAGCTTGATTGTCTGTGTTATCTCGTGCGAGTATGTACATAGAATAAGAATAGATACTGGAGAATGGCTCGCTGCGATGATCTGAGCTATATCCCGGAAGCGATTGCCCAGCACAGCAGGCGCTGACAGAGAGCCCCGCACTGTGGTGTTTCAGATGTCTCATCAATGATCACTATTCCACCTACGGATTGCGGGGAAATCTCGTAGATCGCTCTCCTGCGGCTATTCAAGGCCTATGTGAGGCCAAGGGGCCCCATGATGGATTCTCCGGACGTTGGTCGCGTCTTTGATGCAATGCAGGGTCTTGAAGCGGGTGGCCCATGACGGTGTGGACCCTGGTGATTACATATCCGCACGCGCTGGTCTTCTCATCCTGCCGCTTTGCCGACTCTGTGACAGCTACACGCCGGGGTGACTGACAAATTCAGATTTATAGATGTGGGAGGGCCCCCAGGGAGGTGTCTGCTTTACTCGGGGTCTAATTCTTATAAGTCGTGAGCCCGTCTAGCTAGAGATTCGAACAGATCAGTCACTATGGCGTCCCCCTCGTCAGCATCCCCGCTCCTGCCCTCGCCCGCACAAGACTCGCCCGCGACCAAGACCCCCCCAGCCCAGTATGGCTCTGTGCCCGCAGCGCCGCGGACAAAGACGTCGTTCCTCCGGTCGCTCAGTCCCTCGCACCTCGGCCTGTGCATGCTCATTGCCTCGCAGGTGCTCACCTCCGTGCAGGCGACCATCACCCGCTACCTCGCCATCTCGCTGCCCGCTGGGAGGCACTACCACGCCTTTGAGGTGCTGTTTGCACGCATGAGTATCACGCTGATTGGGTGTCTTGTGTGGATGTGGTGGAACAAGGTGCCGCATGCGCCGTTTGGGAGGCGGGATCTGTGGCCGCTGTTGATTGCCCGGGGGGTTGGTGGGCTCGTCGGTGTCTATGGCCTCTACAGTGCGTTTTCCCCCCCCTCCTACGATAATAGTGTTCGCTATGTATATACTGACAGCACTGACACTCCGCAGCCAGCCTCTCGTACCTGCCCATGCCCGACGCCGTGGTGCTCACCTTCCTCGCGCCCTTCGTCGTCGGCTACGCCTGCTCCAAGATCCCCTCCCTCCACGAACCCTTCACCCTCCGCGAGAAGCTGGGCGGCCTCGTCTCCCTCGCCGGCGTCACCCTCATCGCCCGCCCGTCGTTCCTCTTCCCTGTCCCCCACGACCACATGGCACCCTCTGCCGCCATCCCGCCCCCCGAGATCACCCCCGCCCAGCGCCTCTACGCCGTCTCTATTGGCCTGGTCGGCGTGCTGGGCGCTGCCACGGCGTACACGACTATCCGCTGGATCGGCGCGCGCGCGCACCCGCTGATATCGGTGGCGTACTTTAGCGGGCTGGTGACGGTCGTGTCGGTGGGGGTGCTGGTGGGGGTGCCGAGTACGGGGGGCTTTGTGGTGCCGCAGGGGGGGCTGGAGTGGGGGCTGTTGGGTGGGATTGGGGTGTCGGGGTTTGCGATGCAGTATTTGTTGACGAGGGGGTGGCAGATGGTGAAGGGGGCGAGGGCGGGCATGATTGTGTATACGCAGATGGTGTTTGCGGTGGTGGGCGAGTGGCTGGTGTGGGGTGGGGTGCCGGACTGGCAGAGCTGTGTGGGCGGTGGGATGGTGGTGGGGAGTGCGGTCGTGGTGGCGTTCTGGAAGGAGAAGGAGAAGGAGGGGGCGGGGAAGAAGGCGGAGGAGGAGGAGGAGGAGGAGGGGGAGGTGGCGGTGGTGGATGAGGAGACGGGGCTACTGCGGGAGGATGAGTAGAACTGCGGGGGTAGGGTGAAGGGCGAATCTCATGAGCACATATATTGCACGAGTTGACGGCATTGGATTTGCTTGGTAACGATGGTGCAGTGGGAGTAACAGGTAGAAGCACAGGATAGATGGAAATAAACGTCTAGAGAGAGCTGAGAAGTAGATAGCATCGATTGAGGTGGCATCCTTAGCAGCTAGAGCCACTCGAATCTCTCTGATTCCCCAATAATAAACGCTTGAAAAACAATCTCCGTGAAGCATGCATCGTGGACCACGAGCGAGTGCAGAAAACATCACTGCTGAAGAATTGCCAAGAGCTAGACCAGACATCAAAATTTATGTCTCACCCTCAGGCCTGTGTGTGTATGTACCCGCGTAGCACTGCAGATGTTCCACTGCATACACGATGAACGGGATCGATTTGGGGTGCGTCCTGCGGTATTTTCAGCAAAATACCGCGCCTCCGGAAGTGGCTGTCGTACATTCGGTTATGGTGGGCAGTTTTGAGAAAGAATCCCAGCGTGTTAACTGGCATTATCGACTAGCTAGTCTGCAACTCGTGTAGTGGGTGGCCCACGGATAGATGGCAGACAAGTATCGTAGGCTTCAAGATAAGATACATGCAGACATATACACCGTCACCAAAGTCCTTTAGCTCGGAATATCGGGGTGGCTTACTGCGTAACCTCATCAACATCGAGGAGAGATACATATATCAATCCAATTAAGGGTCCTCTCAACAGGGCACCACGCGAATCGGTCCAGGGTGTCAGCAGCTCTGCGGGATGTGTTTGAGGAGTTGTAGAGTGGTTGTTCGAACTACGTTTCACCTCTACACAGATGGGGGGTGGCCGGGTAGGTGCTGTGGACGGGGGTCATTTTGTGGAAGTGGGGGTTTGTTGTGCGCGTGTAGCTATGTGGCTATCCCATAGTCCGCTACAGCTGCCTATTGATCCGGGCGGCGTATTTCAGCTGTGGCTTGTGCCTGGATCACACACATGTTCGGCTGCCACCCTTCCTCTTTTATAATATTCTGTCAAATAGACAGCATCTAAGCACCGGATTATGGGATAGGGGCCGGGAATGCCAAGCTCGAGTGATGGCTTGTGAGGCTTGTGCGAGGATTATTAAGGTCTGTACTTCTCTAGCTCTAGTAATGCTGGGTAACGAATTGTGTAATGCATCGTTTTTACCACGTAACGTTTATGTGGGCTTGGAAAGTGACCATACGGGTCGTAGCCCATGTACCGAAGAAATGAATCCAATTTACCTGTGGAAAGGTGTCTGAGAAATGAATCGTTAGACTCGTTGGACGAGTTTCTTGACGTTTCTTGTTCCTTCTTGATAATTGAGGCTATCATTATCCACAAGATCATTTACACGTCAGGGAAAGAATCTGGAAACGAATCAGGACTCAGGAACTATTTAAAGGTACACGAAAATAAATACCCAAATAGGAGTAAAAAGCTAAACCAACAGTCTTTGCAGCTGGCGTTATTACGCTGAAAAGGCACATCTCGCTGTTTGGCTATATATCTGTCCTGGCAAGCAGCGCTCATATCAACCATATTAGAGTCAGGTTTGCAGCTAGAGAAGAACGGAAGGTTCGGGGTTAGCGGGTGGGATACAGTTGGCATTCAGTTATTCAAGCCTAAATTGAGTTAGCTTCCGATCCATGTTTACTTATACAAAATGATGGAGGAGTTAATAAGCATAACATCATAACGTCAACAACAAAAGAAAAAAAGAAAAAAAACGGCTAAAGCTGTCAATTTCAGAAGCATCGAGTGATTATTTATGATTTGGCGATGTCATATATATGTTTATGTGTCTTCGTACCGCCCTGTTCGTGACGGTAGTGGTAGGGTACCCTTGATCTGCAATCTACTTTGAGCATGGTCTACATACACAGCATGCCCTTCCTATTTATATCCGTTCCGTTCAGTAATACGATTCGAATCTTATTCCAGTTCTGATTCACTCAACCAGTTGTGTTATATATAGTAGAAAACCCTGGGCCAAAGAAAAAAGAATGCAGGATTGATCGTTAGTAACTGGCTGCGTTTGTTACATCATTACCATTAGGATGTTCTGATGGCATGGATCTGTGAATTCGGCGGAGTCATGCTTGAGGGCTTGCTCAAAGACCGCTGGCGCTCCTATAATGGAGTTGATCGCGTCATAATTATAACAACTGAAAGAAATCACATATACCAGTTAAAGGGCATCGGGGAGTTCATGTGGCCCACCGATCAGAGGATCTAAATAAAAGGTGAGAGGGTCTTGGGAAAGGTCTATCATCAGCTAAATCGATGTAGGTATGATCTATGAATTCAGCTTTCATTTGCGGCCTGCGGGACCAATTGGCACGCACGTGTGTATTATCAATCATTTCTTCAAGTCACAATTCAAGGATTTTAACGTTCCCATCAGGATATTTGATCATAGCTTGTGTATTCTTCCTCCAGTGGCTACATACCCGTAGCAGAAATAGGAAAATAAAAGTGCCAATCACATGGAATAAAAATGGAAGTTTCAACATAGAAGGAAAGATGTAAATGTAGAAAGTTGCTGACATCCCGCGCATAACCAACCACTCTTCAATAATCCCACGTAATCGCAAGTGTCGTGCGTGGGAAACATTTCCACCTTTCAGACGTTACAGCGTACCCAATCTATGATCTCGGATTAGCAGCTTAACAGCAAGGAATACCGTCTAGGGAACTGACCCAATATCCCATTGTCCCACTCCCATTGGGGTCGACGTCGCACATTTCGAACAGAGTAGTGTCGTAATTTGTGAGATAGTCTCGGCCATCGATTGTGCTCACGCCCCATGTCCCATCGACCGAACAGCAAGGGTCATTAGGGTTATAGGTTTCGTCATCATCGAACAGAAGTGTCCAACCAACGGAAATACCGCCATAGTTCTTACTCCAATAGCCTATGCAGACGCCGGTAGGAGACGTATCACAGGGGCGGTAAAGTTTCCCATTCCAGATAAAAGCATGTAAGCCGTAGTTATTGGGAAAGCTTACTCCAACGGTTGTTTGACCCGATGCAGCGCCAATAGTGACCGGAATATTGTTAAGGAAAGGGTAGTCGGGATTATACGCAGTGAGAGTAAAAGTACGATTACGTGCGGTGTCTGTCTGAGCTGCAGAGATCGAGAAAGAGGAGAGTGATAGAAGGCAGAGGAAAAGGATGGAAAGAGGATTAGTAATTTTCGTCATTTTGAGGATCCAGAAGTGTTGAGTGAATAATGAGAAGAATGAAGAGCAAGCGTAAGAAGCCAGATAAGAGGGGCGAAGACAAGTTTAAATACTACCAAATTGCCAACTTACAGCCAGTCCAGTTCTATCATGAATGGTCAGAAATGGCCGTTCGATCTATAGATATGGTAGGCTTGAGAGTCTCGATCCCGTCGAGCAATATCAAGCTGTGATGTCAATCGTTACTATTCTTGTAGTACTGTCTTCGTGTCACAACATCTTTAGCTGGCGTACTGCACAAATAATCACGACCCGGCCCATGACTAGCTAGAAATCAGGAATTGATTTTTATTATTTGTAGTAGAGTGTTTTAGTCCCCGTATTTCTGCTATGTTTTGATAATCTTCTACTTTAGGAGCCACGTGCGCCATACCATTTTACATGGATTGCATGGATACATTCATTAAATCACTCTGATATCCCTGGGCCTTCTAGTGTAGTACTAGTAACATGCAATTTTTTTTCGCCTTTCGGTATCGAGGGACCTATGGGATCGGTGGCTGGGCGACATTGCTATGGTGACGTTGTATACTGGAGCAAGACTTACGGATTTAATACCTATATTTCGAGATAGGTCACCGGCCAAGCTAGGTCTAGGCCTAGAAAATGGTAAATTTGTGTAAGTTTAATTCTACGAGAGATCGAGAGTACCCTAATACATCTCGTGTACATGTATTTATCGCTCAAGCTATCATATTTACGTGCATATATATGGCTAGTATAGACTTTACCTAATAGTGACCATTGATCACTTCTGAAAGATACATGTAATTCAGTTGCGCATTGGATTTTTGAACCACGTGATTTCAGTAGTAGTCCAGGGGTACCAAGCACACGAATACGAGGCTCTACCATAGAGATCTTATCGAGATCGATCGGTTTACGTATATATTAAAAGCTCGTGTAGCATATAACCCTGCAGCGTGCACCACCTAGACTGTAGGGTATAACCTTCTCTGGTGAAATCAATATGCATGATGCATCGGTCGAAAGATTCCATTGGTACTTAAGAAAGAGTAAAACATCCGCAGAGTCAGTATAGAGGAACTATATACAGACATTTCTCAAAGCTCCAATCAAACAACGAACCGAAACGTTCGCGGTAGACCCAGAAAGATCTGCGTTGTGAAATATTCAACTTTGGAAGCTGATGTTAAAGGTCCAGATCACTACTTGATTAACACATTAGGTTCCTTCGTCCCAAAAGTGTCTTCCTTGACAATGGCGACATTCTGCATCGATATTCCAAATTGGCCTGGATTAAATAAAATGTTGTGACGTTGGTCTATTTATAGTTAGACACTTTAGAAACCTACCAACCAAACGTTGGTATGAAACTCGTATCGAAAGCCTCACGGCACGACGAAACGCCCAGTGGTAGTGATTTTTGACTTTATCGGTAATAAAAACCCTATCCCTCGCTTGTCTAACCAATCCTGTCGAGCTCTTCCTTTGGTTCACGTTAAGGTAACCCACGCTGGGCGCGAGGTAGGAACCAAGCAATATCAGGTAGGTACTATACTGCAGGTTCCCTCGAAAGCCTATAGGTGAGTTCTAGAGAAGACATGGGTCATGGAGGGAGCCACTTGTAGTGTGTGACGCCAGAGTTTGGCTTGCACCAAAAGTCAAGTGCACCATACGGACTGTCATCCAAGTCCCCGGCTGACATTCCCCTGTGAGTGATGTATGCCACACGTCAATGAATATAAGCAGGATGCGTTGATATAGAGGGGATTCGGACCATTCTTGATTTTTGCTAAAAATTGGCTGAGGAATTGCTGGTCTGGCGTTCTGTGGTGGGGAAAATCAGCTGCATACAGGACCTTATATCGGACGGAGATCACTGTATCGACTGTATTCCAGCATTGGGGTAGCCGTAGCTGATGGACTTTTCAAGGTGATAAGGGCTTCAACTCACATGTTACACCAGCTAGCAATGAAGGGGAAGATTGTTGGTAGATAAGAAGCATATCCGAAATATCATAAGAGCTAGAGGGCCTGGGAGGATGAAATATAGTAGACTCTCGCTATAAGGATATGGTCGGGATAAAAATATGTATCCTTATCCCTTCGTCTAGCAACAAATGCTGACCACCCCCAAAAAAGGAAATCTTTGTGGCTTTACTAACAGATCCCATTATCTCTCTTACCAAATAATCAAATATCCTTATAGACTAGTGAGAGTCTACCGTACTGATAAGGCTATTATAAGCCTAAGTTCTGGATAAACCTACCTATTATATTCGGTTCGACATTAGGATATAATGAGTCGACGGTGCGGTGAGATCTGGCTTGGGCGAAGGTAGCGGAGAAGTAGTGCAGGCTTGAACTGACGTTATATTAAATATCCACTACTTCTCCATTTAAGTCGTGTAATTCAGCATACGTGGTATAACCTTCCAATTTTATATACCGGGAGCATATCTAGCCTTGCTACCAGGCGCACTATCCGACTGATGAATCTCAAGAATCTCAACGACTCACAGTACGGTGGCTCGACTATTGTTGCAATTATTTGCCGTGGAACGGGTACAGATGTATATGAAGAAGGAGGTGGTTCTTCTTTTATTCTATTGTACAAACGATTTATCTATCAAGTCCGGGAATACGTGTTACGCCCGCTCCTTAAGCTAGATCGCTGCCAGAAAGTCTGGAGTAGGCACTTGGCTATGAGCTATCACCGCCGCTACCCCGCTACCATTCCGCAATTACGCCGCCTAAGTACTAGCGATGAACTTTCCATGAACATTCCCCATCACGTCGTAGCGTGAAATCTTCGGGATAAAAGCCCAATCCATCCAAGCCTCCGTCATCAAGTGAAAAGGTCCATCTCAATATGGTTTCACGTTCGATTGCAAGCTCTGGCTCACATCTTGGCCTTTGGTCAGAACAGGTCCCTAACGATACATAAACGGGAAAAGCGGATGGCAGCTGTCAACTGCCAAAGCTGTTCACCCTTTACTAGTAATTCATGTGTCAATAGGAATCACAATATTGGAATGTTTCGCTAGTATTGTCGGGCGCCAGAAAATAACCGATCACTCACACAACGTCGAGGTCCTTCAGATCAGAATAACTCAACATGAGCCAGGAGAGCAATTGAGGAATTTTGTCCCGTAAACAGAATTAGATGCTTGAAAAGGATGGACTTACCCTTCTAACCTCGAAGGTCTCGATGTGAGGTTTCTTCGCAGGACAGCTTTGGTTGCTATATATGAGTCTCACGAGGGTGCCAGTGATCGGTTATTTTTGGCACCCAATAATACTATCAACAGTATGTACTTTCCCTGGAACTCAGAACAGAACACAGAAGTCTGAGCGATTGTGGTAACGTGGGCCCGCGGCTTGATCAATAGATTAGGCATGCGCCAACGTGTCATGAGACCTATGATCTGGCCACCGGCCTCATTGATCAAACGTCGCACACCTGACCAAATGGATGCCTTGAGGTCCAACGGAATGTAATCGCTACCAGTTTTCCCGGGTGAGCTATAGCTGTGGGCGTGTCAGAGGTATTGCAGGTGATGTACAGTACTGCAGTCGATTCCAGGCGCTGATACAGAACATTCGGCCAGTTTAATAAAGCGATTGGCGGAGTATCACAGTCACCCGAGTAGGAGCCGAGGGTAGGATCACAAAATGTCACTCGCTTCACGTAGAAAACTGCATCGAGTTGCGCCAGCTGTTTATCCTTCTGCCCAGTTAAGCGTAGCATCTGATAGACAGCTGGACTACTACGGCTTAGCTCCAAAGAAATAAGTTTATGATACAGTACCTATGTAATCGGCCAACCCTCTTCCTATGATCGGAAGGCTTCAATGCGTGTATGTATACGGAAGCACCGGAAGGCCCCCTATATATTTATAAATTTAAACCTATCAAAGGCCAGAGTCGAACCGCAGCATCTTAGACACATGGCGTATCTTTACCGATACAGTAGATATATGTACTTATAGCTTTCCGTTTGTTCGGGAACTACAAGTTTATATATCTAAATAGTATAAGCTTCTTCATTGTCATCATGATCATGAAGCCTTTTTTTTTTTTTTTTTTTTTTTTTTTTTGGTTTAATTCATTAATTCCGTGCAGTCTCAAAGCTATGGCAATATCACACACTGCCCCAGAACCTCCCATCTGCCTCCACCGCCTTTCGCAAGAAATAATGATCATGAAGCATTTCTATTGGTTAGGATATATGGTCTGCATACTACATATAGAAGCACATATATATGCATAGACAAAGTACTGTTCTCGGACTCGGGAATACTGGGAAGGGAACTGACATCGAAAGGGCAAACACTGGCAGGTAGAATAAATTGCGGGTATAGTCTTATATCAACCTTGATAGATGTTAATATTAAGAAGTTCGTGACCCAGCTCATTGAGAAGGAAGAACTGATATGACTGTAGAATTACTCCTATAATACAATGCTTACACGATCAGACTGGACCCGACCGATTGTGTTATTCCTCTAGAACTGGATCCTGGACTGGGCGCGCCACTACATGTCCTAAAGAACTAAAGGCAAACACACTTTCTCACCTAGTCGCTCTTGGGAGGTACTCGGACTAGATGACGACGCTGAAGGATTCTATTCGCCCACTACATATAAGTTTGCGGCCGCCTGCTGCGGTCTAGTTATATATATATATATATACAGGGGCCCAAACCTAAGTCTTATTATAGACGTCTTGTGCTAGTGTCATTTGTCTAGAACTTCGTAATCTGTACATATATATATGTATGCTCACAAATGTTGAGATAAGATAGGAGGTTCTATGAGAAACCTCCTAGATACCCCAACTAACGGAAGTGCATACAATTAGAAAATTACCAATCAATCAATTAACGAACGGAAAATATCAGTTTTACTGTGAAGCGAGTGATATTTGATGTAAGGATGGAAACTAATTCCTAGTTGCTAGGTAGTGATAGTTTTTTTATTTTATGCCAAGTGGGGAAATGAAACACCCCACAATATCCTGACGAGGGAGGGTGGTGATGGTTTTATCTCACGGGCATCCCAGGGTCAGGACTATTCCGCACCCGGCAATGTTTCAACAGTTTCAACAACTTCGCCAAGTTGTTCAACAGCAACCACAAATGCTCGCAACAAGTTGGGACAGGAAACCTTCAACTCGCTGCTTTAATCAGTCAGAATCCGGATGAGGTTTTGAACCCGTTTACCTATCAGAACTATAACTAGTCCTATATCTCGGTACATACCATAGCTATAGTAAGAGTCGACAAAACCTATTTGAATCGTATAATAGGGATATCACTGGATTATGTGCTGATAGGAATGATCATTGACATCTCTCGCGGTCTTGCTACCTTCTATACTTGTTCTAGACCCTTTACTAAGAGAGGGCCTTCTTGGGGGTGACACCGGTAGGATTGAACAATGGCAACGTCGAGGAGACATGGCGCGGTGTGACATTGCTCGAGAACTACATAAATTATAAACCTTCCTCAAAACGTTCACGGTGCGCGCGTGAACATTCTATGTACTTAATCACAAACACGTAAGGGCCGTATATCCCATCCATTCCTGCTAACCCGTTTTAATGGAAGTGAGTGGAATTAACGTGACGAACACTCCACTACGCTAGCATTTATGACCCATATAGCTAGTGCAGTGAAAATAGCTATGAGAATCCAGAGTACCGTCGAAGCGTCCAAAAGACATGTCCCTACGCTTGATTGACACTGGAGATCCGGTTTGTACTACGTAGTACCGCATCCTACAACCCGCGCATTTGTATTCTTGGCGAATACATGTATCCTAGACTATTTATAACTGGTTCACTGAGCGACCAGTCGGCTCAGTGCATAGAGCGGGGAAGTGTTCCTACGCCTATCCCTCAAGTACATTACACTCGTGCCAAAAACATTGATCCTGTGCTTAGCACTCCAAACCGGAATAGCATCAAGCACAGAACATATGCTCGGAAAGCTCAAAGGAAAAACCATTTCAAGGCCTGCATCGCCCAAGGCCGGGAGTGCGGCTGCCTCTACTGGTGCGAGATTGATAGGCGCTTCAAGGGCATTATATATCCCGGTCGTCGGCCGCGAGATTCAGAAATATTTAGATAAAGGGTATCTAGTTAATTTAATTCCATCTTCCAGGTTTATGTCACTAAGAAGCAGCCCAAACGCTGGTAAAACAAGCTCGGAAAATAGTAAAGGGGAACAATCACCTTCGTCTCCCGTTCATACCGGGGTACTACAAAATAGGTATGAGTGAAACCTTTGGCCGGGCATTGCGTTTCTTGGTTTTTTCCTGAGGCCCAGGTAGGGTAGGTACGAGTGATCCGACAGCAACTTCTACAAGTTCTGAGGAGCCATACAACGGGTACGGGTACACCTGTTGACGTTTTGCAAATGCAATGTCACTAGCTACTTGCTAACATGCCGGTGCTTGCAGCTTGAGCCCATGGGAGGAAGCGATCCTCGGTGTTCCTGAAACTAAGGTTGGGTTTACTAAAAAGGAAGCTGAAACTCAAGGGCACAAGGATTTTATCGATGGGTTGATAACAGAGATAGACAAATACAACACAGATATTAACAACAGACGATGGTTTCGGATCAATGATAAAGGCGAAAAAATCTTCTTCGTTGAGAAAGTGGTCTTTCAGCTGGAAAGATACGCGCAGATCGGGGATGTGGCTATCCAGCACAATCCTGATGTAGTGGCATTAGTCTGGGCAGGCTTTCGGTTTCTTCTACAGGTAGTTATGCCCAAAGTATCACTTTTACATCGTCGAGCCGCGCTCACTGTAAATCAAGATCGGGTCAGCATACACGAAGGATATGCAGACAGTAACGGAAGGTATCGAACTCATTGTCTGCAGCATATGCGAATGTCATATCTTTGAAAGATTGTACCTAAGGCCAAGGCTTGATTTGGGAGCCGAGTTAAGGAAGTCACTTGTCAAGTTCTATATCTCAATCCTGGACTTCTTGGTCTATGGCAAGAGCTATCTATCAAGGGACACAACCGGTAAGTGTTCAACCGCGTCAACCTCCACTCAGTTCTGACTGGTTTTGGATTTAGATCGTGTAATAGAAAGCTTCTCTTCGGAACTCATGCCCTTGACCGATAAAATGCGGAAGGCGTTAGCAGAGGTAAAAAGTAAGGTGGATGTCGTTCGTACAGAATGTAAGAAACCCCCATCCAAGAATTTACGTAAACGTTCAAATGATCATTTTAATAATATCATTTAGGGGAAGCAAAGTGGCATGATGGTACGTGTCTTTCACCTTTTTAGGCCTAACCTCACAGACTGACCCTAAGGATAATCACAGATATTTCGCAAAAGCTGGTGCAAATTAGGCAGGCGCTGTTGGCCATTGAGAAACCTCTCGGTGATATTGAGCTTAAGCACTGGGTGGAGAAGCTTTACGATGAAGTTCAAGGTCAGTCATAAGATATACCTTTCTGCCTATTGGTGTTCTATCTCATAGAGTACAGGTAGAAAACGACTTGAGATATTACAATGGCTGTCCGATGTCCCCTTCAGAGATCACCACACATTCAACAGTCAGCGTCGTCAAGAGGATACTGGCCAATGGCTCCTCAAGAACAAGAGTTTCTTAGAGTGGAGAAACTCGAATCAGTCATCAATACTTTGGATGAGAGGGGATGGTAAGTCGAAGTATTTGTCACCGCATGTTCATTATCGCACGGAGCTGACACATCTGTCCCCTTTAATAGCCGGTTCAGGAAAAACACTTTTGGCGTAAGACGACTCTCACATTTGTTTGAAGCAAGGCTGGCTCAACGTATAGATCATTCATTATCGATGAGTTCCAGGCCATAACAAGAAGCAGCAACGAACACATAATGGCTTACTTCTACTGCGACTACAAAGAGCCAGCGAGGAGTGATCGAGAATCGATCCTCAGGGCTATTGTAAAACAGCTTTGCCTCAAGGGACCAACCACCGATCATATACCAAACCTGGTAGCAGAAATGTACAGCATACGTGAGGAGGATGGATTTTCATCCGGGAAACTCAGGGTATCTGAAAGTACAGAGCTTATTGTTAAATTGGCGGGAATGTACAGTGATGTGACAATCATTATGGATGGAATAGATGAATGCGATCGGAAGACTAGAGCAGAACTATTTTCCGCAATAAACGAGATGAGCAAGGCTGACTCCAAGGTGAAGATTATCTTGACGGGCCGTTACGATAACGATATAGAAAGGATGTTCTCTACTGCCCACAAGCACTACCTCACGGCAAAGGACAACACAGAAGACATCATAAAATACGTTGAGACGCAGATGGAAAAGCGATGCGACCCCACTCGCGGGGACACGGTGCAGTTGATCTTGAATGGCGTAGTCCCTGCAGATCTAAAACAAGAGATCATCGATACTCTTTGCGAAAAGAGTAACGGCATGTTAGTGCCCCGTATCTGTGAAAGTACTTAATCCGTAAGGCTTGAACTGACCTGGTTCAGGTTTATGTGGGTTCATTTACAGTTATTGGCCTTGTGCGAAGAGAACACTCCCGGTGATATACGGCAGGCTTTGAAGGAATTGCCAAAAGACCTCAACGCAACATACGACCAAATTCTTAAAAGAATCGCCGAGAAAGGACCTCGATCTGAAAGGGTAGCCAACTTTGTTCTCCGATGGCTCGTTTACGCGCAATCAGTGTGCTCCACACAGACTGTAATACAGGCGCTCGCAATACGACCCGGTTCCAGTGAGCTGGACGAAAATCTCTTGTGGTGGGAAGTCGGCTACATCTTGGGTGCTTGCCAAAGCCTCGTGGTGCATGACGATGTGCTTGATAATTTCCAATTCGCTCACTTTTCAGTAAAGGAGTATCTCCAGCGGCACCCTCGGTTTGCAGATGTGGAGACGTCTCAGACGCTGATTGCCGAGGTTTGCCTTACGGCACATGTGCAGCACTCTACAGAGGGTGGAGAGGAAGGAAAGGTTAAGGAACTACTTTGGTATTCCAGCCAGCACTGGCCAGCTCATGCCCGGTTATCCGGTCCTGCCGGTTTCGAAAAACTACGGCCGCTCTGGATAGATTTCTTTGAATCTTTGCCAGTCTACAATTATTGGATACGGATAGCCGCGCAGGTCGAAAGGTCGACAGCCCTTGAGGGTTTCGGTTCTGACGACTTCGTCACTCCATTGTGGGCGATGTGTTCTTACGAGCTCTTACCGATCGCAAAATATCTGCTACAGCGCGGGGACAACCCAAATAGTAAAAGCTCATCCGGAACCACACCATTAAACTATGCCGCCATGGAAAACAATTACCACGTGGCGAGAATGTTGATGGAAAATGAAAATGTGGACATAAACGAAGGAGACTGGTTGGACGGTTCTCCACTCATGAACGCCACGATCAAGGGCTCAATCGAGGTCGTAGAGATGCTTTTGGAGAGGAAGGACCTTCGTGTCAATGATACCAGCAGGTATGGCGAGCCCGCGCTCACCTATGCCATCCAGGAGAATCAGCTCGGGGTCTTGCGGCTACTCCTAAAAAGAGAGGATCTGTTGGTCAATGGGAGCGTGGGAGAATGGAGTAAGCGGACACCGTTGGGGCGAGCTGTGGTCGGGGAGAATGTTCAAGCCGTGAGACTATTGCTGGGGCGGCAGGATCTTGTTATGTTTAGTGAGCTTGATAACGACAACCATACACCGCTCACCTGGGCTCAAAGTAGGGGTTATTCGGAGATTGCGCTACTCTTATCGCGCAGATTTGGGGTAGAGTCAGGGCCGAATGCGCCCCCAACCGTCCCGGGTACTCCGCCTGGCGCGCCCTGTGCCGAGACCGAGGACAAGGATAGGACAGACTGGGACTAGTCGTCTGTTAAGTCCTTAAACATCTAGGGTTGGAGATGGTCGGCCGGGGATGGCGGGAGGTGGCGGCAGTGTACCAGGAGCGGGGCGGGACTAGGCGGGGCGGGACTAGGCGGGGCGGGACCAGGAGGCGCGGGACCGGGGGGGGGGGGGGGGGAGGGCGGGCGATGCGGGACTGTACACGGCTGCGAATGACCGCAAGGACAGCAGGCAACTAGAGATCAGGAATTATATATAATTCGAAATTGGTGTCTTCCGATAGCCATGCTGTGAATGTAGTAACTGGAGACCGCATTTATGTTTTCTACTAATGCGGTTCTATAATTCATTTGGCCGTCAAAGTGCGGCGATGCTAGGTACCCGGTACGCATGGCGGCTGGCTGCGGTGAGGTATCTCTAATGCCCGATCCGCTTGGGGAGAGATAGTCTAAACACAGGTTGGTACTTTAGCTTGATAGAGAGGGGGTACTCCAGTTGTGGGATTACGATAGGTTTTGCTCATGACAGCTTACTTTGTTTTCACAACCAGCCCACAAGTTCTACTATAATTCCCCCGGACATTACACGATATAATAGGAGCATATAACTGCAAGTTGGTAGATCGTCCTCCTCCAAACCTTCTCCAAAATACTCGAGAAGATCGTTACCCTCCGCCTCGCGTCTATCGCCAAAGCGGTAGGCCTCATCCACCCCCACCAATGCGGATCAGTAGCCGGCCTGTCCACGGCAGATGCGGTCACTACCCTCCTCCATGAGACCAAAGCCATGCAACACGCCAAGCTAAAAGTCTCCACCCTATTCCTCGATATCAAGGGTGGCTTCGATAACGTCGTCAAACACACCCTCGCATCCACCCTCGCGGCCAAAGCTACCCCCCCATACATCATCAACTGGGTCTTGTCATTTCTCTCCGACAGACATATCACCCTCCTCTTCAAGGGCTCCCCAAGAATCCCAACCCCGGTCCAGGTCGGCGTCCCCCAAGGCTCCCCCATATCGCCCCTCCTCTTCGTCATATACATGAACATCCTCCACCTACACGACCCCTCCCCAGGACTTACCCTATCCTACGTCGATGACTTCGCAGTAACCGTGGGCTCCCCCAGCTACCAACAAAACATTCACATACTTGAGGAACATTTCAAGGCGATCACAGCCATCACGGCCGCCCAGAACACCACCTTCTCAATCCCCAAAACCGAACTCATGCACTGGCGAACCCCTAAAGATAAGGCGCCAACCTGCACTCTTCCCATCACCCTCGATAACCAGATCTTCCACCCAGGCCATCAAGTCAGATGGGTCGGATTCTGGCTATCCCCAAACTTCAACCCAAACACCCACTTCATCCGCTGCCTAGCCTCCGCCCAAGTCAGCTTCGGGATCCTCCAGAGATTCTCCTCCCCCGGCAAAGGCCTCTCCTCATCCAACTGTAGGAAAATCGCCCTATTTGCCATTCGCCCAATGCTCACATATGGCGCATCCGTCTTAACACCCACCAGCTCCATCAAAGCAATGAATAAATTCTGGAACTCAGTCCTCAGATGGGCCACCGGCTGTTTCAGGGCAACCAACCAACGCGTCCTCTGGGCCGAGGCACACTGCCCCCCACTCATCAACTACATCCACTACCTGAAAACAAAGTTCGCCATCCGCGTCCTACTCGCCCACCCCCTCAACAACCCGGTGACAGGGCGCTGCCACCCCTCCTTCCCCACGCTGACCCCCGACAGGGTCCCCTCCCACACAACCCTCCTCCGCGGCCGCCCCAATCCACCCAAAAAGTGGAACTCCACGGCAACAAAGGGAGTGGCCTACCTCCCCATCGAACATCTCTGCTCCCTCCTCCGCTACCCAATCGCAGGCGGAACCGACCACAAACTCCTCCCAAAACAAGCCAAAGATCAGATGCTGAATAACTGGGCACAAGACTTTCCAACACCCCCCTACTACTCCTTCCCCCTCACCACAAGCCCTGAACCCTTCATGGACCTACACAAATTCACGGCTACTCGAATCCACCAAATGAGAGCCCAAAAAAGCTACCTCAGAGGCCACAAATCTTGGCTCAACCTCCATCTCTCCGAAAAGTGCGACAGATGCGGCGAAGCCCCTGAAACCACCGAACACGCCATCCTCCTCTGCCGAGCGAAAGCAACCCAACGCGCCCAACTCCTCCCAGGAATAAAAACCCTCGAGGAGATCTGGAGTGACCGCACCAACACACTAGCTCTAGGAGCCTTCATCACCGCCACCAAAACGAACTTCCCCAGAAAGGAACACATCTCCCCCCTCCTATCCGGATCTGAGACATCAAGTGCCCTCAGCTCCCCCCCCTCCACCACCTAGCCACTGCAAAACCCAACCCAAATCAGGGTACTCCGCACCCACAAAAGACCCTCAAGGGGCAACAGGTTATTTGAAACCAGCAGGAATATTTCTTATGTCGGACATGGGCCGCCAAAGCGTCGGTTTTTCCTTGCAGTCAGCCAGTTAGATTGTCAGTTTGTTTGTGCTTTGCTTCTTTTCATTGTTTTCCTTTGTTCATCTGGGGTTGTGGAATTTAGTTTCTAAGTCGGGGAGAGGTATTTTTATGCCATATTCTAAGACTGCATGCAGAGTTTTGTACCTAGAATCAATTAAAACTACATGATTTAAAAAAAAAAAAAAAAAAAAAAAAACTGCAAGTTGGTAGGCCCGAGATTAGCCCTATCAAAAGATCGAGAGCGTCAAATTTATTAAGGGTTAGCCCCTCGCAAATGCGAGATATTGCAATTCAGGCTAGATGACAAAAGTATAAGTGGTAATCTGCTGTAGAAATAAAAATATAAATATGAAAGAAAAAACACCGAAAGGAGAAAGGTATTAATATCTCAATCCATACTTTAAACTGGAATATTTAATGCACATCCATTCTTCTACCACTTTTTGTGTGGTTAACAAGAGTCGGAAACCCGGAACTTGATATCGTTTGAGTCGGTCTGTGATAATGGCGCTTTGCCTCTGCATTATTGATAACAACTGACAGGCTCGAACCAGGGCCACCATTGCTGCATAGTATTAGACCCGGGTGAGGATCGGAATACATAGAACGGCCCCCACAAATCCTTCTTCATAACGAATACCATGATGATTATTGATCGCAATGGTCGGGTCCGGATTATAGATATCTATAGATGCCTTGACAGTTCCTCCGGACTGGACGGGCTATACGGTCGTGGCCCGTCTAGTCCCTAATCTTGTTAGGACTATAGATAAGGCGCTGGACTATAGATATCCATAGGGTCGTGAGCGATCACTCGGTTTTGGGACTATATACAATCACTCCAACTACGGCGTAGCTCCAGCACAGAGGCGTAGCTCCAGGACCACGGCGTTGCTGAATCACGGCATTGCTCCTGCACCACGTCCATATCCCCCGGGAACTAAACTAGCTAACAGAATATGGAGCTTCTTCTTTTAGTGCCGTCGCTTGTCATAAGTTGTCCTTTTGTAGGCTAAAACCTCACACATCAATGACTTCAAACAATGCAGACTCTATTCTAGAGACTCATATTCTATATAGCTATCATGCGTATGACTAAAATATCCTTGCTGTTCAAGCATTGTCTTTCGCTAAGAATTGAAATTCTGAGTGCCTTTCCGAGTTGCTACCTCAGAGCTTGCATCAACTTCCGGCACCCCGGGGAACACCACCGGAGCAGCACAGAATATCACTCGTGCCAAGACCACCGACTGATACGGCAAAGAATATCACGACACGCCGCGAACACCCAGCCACCTGCAATCCTCAACACTCTGACCCCAATTTAGCACGAAATTCTCGTCATCTTTTCTAAGTCTCATACAACCCATCAAATACGACCACTCGCACAGCTCATCACGGGAGATCACTCTTGCCAATGCCCATCAGTGGGTGATCCACACTGAATTTCCCAACACACCACCGCTGCTCCTCTCCTCGGCGTAACTCACTCAGTTTATTAGTAAAATATATTAGTACAAAGAAACCGTTGATAGCACAAAATTTCACTCCAGCCAAGATCCATGGGGTCATGTCCTCCAACAAAACACGGCCTCATACCTGCCGCCACTCTCCCAAGGCACAAAGGCGTTAGACACCCACGGCATTGTAGCCAACCTACCACGTCGTACCCTACAGCCACAGCATACCCAACGCCCCGCAGCGTAGCGCTATAGCCCCAGTCCAACAGTAGTGTTGGGCACGAGCCTGTTCGAGACGAGCCTGACTTAGAGCTCGAGCTGGCTCGGATTGTGCAAACGAAGGCCTTTGAGTATGGCTCGAGCTTAGGCTCGAGATGCAATTAAAGTGCTAAAAATGGTTATCTCGAGATAAGTTTCACTTTTAAGGACAAACTCAAAGGGTTTATCTTCGTTATATTTTCCAACTTTACCATTACTGATAGTCCAGAAAGCTCGAGCCCAAGCTCGAGTCTTTCTAATACTAGTTCGAGCTGGCTTGCGCTCGTAAGAAGGAGAGCTTGGGGTATTCGAGCCAGCTCGGCTCGTGCCCAACACTATCCAACAGCCATCGACAGCGGCGTCGTTACTCCATCACAAACTGTACTTTTCCTCCCTAGGCCTCCCCCCACCTACAGCTCAGGCTATCGTCGCATGTTCTTCCCGAGAGTTTCGCACAAGACCCAATCTCGGAACGCCAAACGAAAAAGTCACAACCACTACACGCACTCAGCAATCTCGTACTATTCTATTTTGCTCTAACGAAAAGCATTCCCACGTGCCCCGTGATAGTCCGTGAAACACTAGCGCCATTGGACAAAATACTACAACTTTTAATTTCACAGTAACAAGCCAGGATGATATCCTTCAAGCCCGCCACCCACCACCAGAAGCCATACGCAGTGTATATATTCCGGCCGGAAGTTGAAGACCGGATAGCTGTAGGCCATAGCACAGAATTGGGGTCGTCGTGAATCTAGCAGATCAAGAGTAGGATACAAAATTCGATTTGCCAGAGAACG